TTTATGAGGTATACATGGGTAGTGGGATGTTGACAATGGTTTGTTTGGCTTACAAGGTAGTCTAAGTTGCATAGAATGGTGTAAACATGTTTGGAGTAAAACTGGGCTTTGGTTGTATTTGTGGTATGTTGGCCAAATTGTGCCAGAACTTATTGATATTGCCTTTACCATTAGCAGGAAATTATGCATGTTGCATAGGTGTAACAAGAACCTAGTCTGCTTCTTCCTGAACTTACTAATTTACTAAAAAACACCAATCTTCCATTTTGGCCCAGAGCAAATATGATGGCAGTCATGCATATTTCAGTGACAATGAAGAGAAACCATGGCAAGGAGCATTAAACTCCTCCTCCTCCTATGAACTAATATTACCAAGGTCTCAAGAGTCTTTAGACTTTGCTTAGCTGCCATTCAGATAACAAAAAAGACTATATATGAATTTCACGGACATAATTGGTGTCACGTCTCACTTGCCCCTAAGATATACTTTTAAATTCTAAATCCCTTTCTGTATTACAGCTGATTTGAACAGAATGATGTTACCATCACGTCAAATTGGAAGTACTGACAAACCTTCTCTTAAGTTGTTACTGATTCTAGAACAGTGTTTCTCAACCTTGGCAACTTTAAGATGCTCTAGAATTAACTTGTTTGTACAAATAAATATTATAACCAAGTTTTCTAAAGATTTAAAGGTTTTAGTCATAAAGTATTAAATTCTGTATATGTTTGGGGAAATGTGACTTTTTATCATATTAGAATATAAATGTGCCACATAGAACTACTTTTCCCATTGCTTTGAAACAATTGAGTGAGTATACTTAAATTATTTCCTGAGCTTTCAAAAAGAAAATAGTAAATTTAACTTTCAGAACAAGAAGAATGTTAAGCAACAAACATATGTAAGAGTTAAAAGAAACTACCCTATGGCATTGGCTGCTGGAATTGTAACCTTCTGGGACTTTACTATAGTTGCATAAAGAGTATACAAATTGAAAGGAAGACCAGCCCAGTACATCACATGAATTACAGTGAGAGTACTGAAATAGCTTTACAGCATAAAGTTTTATGAACAGTAAATCTTTAATATTAGCCTGGGATAAGGTTTTGTAGGAATTGTTAGTATAATTTTGAATGGAAAGAGAGCACTAGATCCTTCCTTTCTAAGAGCTGATACAGTAGAGTCCTACAACTTTTATTACATTTTATTTTCTGTAGTGGGTTGGAATATTTACATGAAATAAAAGGCAAGCTGAGATGGAAGCATTTGAAGAAAAATCTAAGCCATGTCACATTGAAACCATGCTTATTGTTTAGTACTGATTTCTATCTATAAATTTTATTGATAGAACTGTACAGGGATTGCTGGAACTACAAGAAAATTGATAGAATTTACCATATAAATATAATCACCTGGCTATATTCAAGATCACTTAGTTTGATACTGTATAGAAAATCTTATGCTACCTCATTTGTAAGCCATATTCTATTTTCATCTGCGAAAATTAATTCTTCCAGCTTCTCTTGCCCTGCTGAACTATTTAATTTTCAGTCTTAAATACATGTGATGGTTCATAATATTTATAGAATGGAATCTAGTTTCTAACTGGAACCTTCAGATATTTTTTTTAATCTTCTCAAAGTCAAGGAAAAATGTTTGAGTTTTTCTCAATTTGAGTAAATTAGAGCAGAACACAGAAAGTTAACTCACTTGGAACAATCTGCTACAGACAGATCAGATTCAAGATGGAAACTCCAATTTATTTATTTGCTAAGGCTTATAAAACTACTCTAACCAGCTCACATTGCTCATTATAGGACTAGCATTAAAATACAGTTGAACCAAAAGCAAAACTAGTAATGACACAACAATAAAATTATTATCATAGTCTACCATACAGCCATACTTGTCATAATACACAACAATTGCTACTTCTTCAGGAGCAATACAGTATCATCCATCCCCAAATAGCCTCCAAAAGAACCAGGTCTTGACTGTCTTAGAGAACAGCAGCAAGGATGGGACCATCATTATCAAGGATCAGATGATCCAGAGGATGGGGTTGCCATGGAGAAGGCTCACCTTTAGGGGTTTTAATGGTGAAATTCCTTAGGGCTGCTGCATTCTGTAGCTTCCATATGCTCTTCAAGGGCAGTCCTATATAGAGGAAATTGCAGTAGTCCAAATGTGAAGTAACAGAGGCATTAGTGACCATTAGCAAAGCTTCGTGGTCCAAGAATGAACATAACTGGCACATAATATGGAGCTATGCATAGGTCTTTCTGGTCATGGCCTCCATCTCCCCTTCCAATAGGCTGTAACTCCAACAGGAACCCCAGATTGGAGACCTGCTTTGCACAGGGGACTGCAGCTTCATCCAGAATTGAACATGGAATTGTATAGGAATCCATTGCTTTCACATCCACACCTCCTGAAATCGAATATCAATTGTATATCTTAGGGAGAATTAATTATATAGATTAACTCACTCTGTGTCAACAAATTATACTCCTTTGTGACCTCATATGGATATGAAATGGAAAAGGGTCAAGCCCCATGGCCCTCCCATAATGGAGGGCTCCAGGATTCGACCTCTCTTCCACATACCACCATCAACTGAAACTGCCCACTCAGGAAGAATTACTGCAAAACATACTCCCTTTGAAGTACTGAAGGCAACTAAGAAGTCTAGCAGGACCAGGAAGGTCACACTCTCTCTTCATCCCTGTCCTACCATCCCTGTCCTACCATCCCTCTCATCCACAAGAGCAATCAGTGTAGTCTCACTCCCATATCCTGGCCTGAAACCTTAGTGAAAAGGATTTAGATAATCTGCTTCATCCAGAGCACTCTGTAACTGCAGTTCTGTTACCTTTTTAACAACATTTCCCAGAAAGGGAAGATTGGAGACAGGCTAATAATTGTCCCAAATAGTTGGGTCAAGCAATGGCAACTTGAGAAAAGAGTGCACTACCACTTCCTTCAAGATAGGTAGCATGATCCCATCTCTCAAGGGTGCATTTAGTCACAGCCTTTCATCAGGGTCCTGTTACCTTGTCAGTTTTCACCAACCAGACAGGATAAATATCTAATCCATAGGTGATGGTGCTGATATAGAGAACCCTGTTCATTTTTTTATTTTTTTTTGGATCAACAGGCTCAACAGTACCTAGATAATCTTGCAAGACTTTGTGTCTGTCATCTCCTTTAAACTTGCCTGGCAGTGTGTATACGTGTGTTTTCATTATTCAGAATGCCTTGAAAAAGCATTACAGTACCCCAAAAATCTTCCAACCCAGAATAGTCTGGATCACTATAAAGCGAGATGGCTGGATGGCAGTCTATGGAAACAAGAAGTGCAAATAATTAATGTTTTGACACTCTGATTGCCACAGCATAGACTTGAACCTGTCTGTGTTTGGTAGTATTTACTCTTCTTCAGCACCAGTGTTGCTCAATCCTGGTAGTGAGAGAGTAGACATGCAGTGGTATAACAAAAAGCATTCTGATCATTGTCAAAATACTTATAAAGCATTTACCTGAATGACCTCTCTGCACTGATCTAGGCTCATTCCTCCTGTACACAAGTTTGAAGAGATGAAATCTCAGACTAGGCTGTATCACAACCCTGTATGGAAACAAGCTGTGGCAATATCAAGTCCCAATTGTTGAACTGTTCTATATATTTTTAAAACATGACACCCCCAACTTTTATTCAAGTTCCCCACTAATCTTTTTGTTTGATGATAACATGGAACTCATGTGAGATGTTTCATTCCGTTAATTAATTCATAACTTCCACATGATCCCTGACAAGAAAGTAAGTTGCTGCATCTATCAGGATCTCCACTAATCAACCTATTCTGGCAAAAAGATGAATTAAAACTTGATTTACAGACTTAGTAAGATTCAGTTTAGAACTATTGCCTCAGCCACTTAGTGGTGTAGTCCAGAAGAGTCAATACAAAGTGGTTTTCCTGAGGGGTCTTGGGTTGCATGTTTTGGGGTCTGTCTTAAGTTGAACTATATCTGCCAGTCTCTGGAATAGAGCTTCCATGATAGGCAAGGTTGCCAAAGGCAAGATGCCCTTTCTCTTGCTGTTTCCACCCTCTGGCAAACCTCACAGGATTCTAGATATTCAGTCACCTCCCTGCTATATCCAGTCGCATATAAATATTGATTTATTCTTTCTTTGGTTCTACTCATCCCCTTTTGTTGATTGGGTGGTTATGGGTCAAGCTTGATACATTTTTGAAAATTGCTGGGCACAGCAATCTGTAAAACTTGCTACACTTTCTTGGGGCAGGTACCTGAACTAGTTGGGAAGAGTGGACTTGATGGCCCATATGGCCCTTTCAATTTATGATCATGTAATTCCATATAATTATTAAAGTATAGGGGAAAACACTCCTTCTGATGCACAGTATCATGGATAGCTCTGGGAGAAAATTTGTTTTACCAAATTTAGGATTTGCTGAAGGTGATCAGTAAGCATATAGTAATTAATATGGTGGCTATTATATAATACAGTTTATTCAAATAATCTGGTATAAAAACAATGCTCACCATGTGAATTTATGAATGTATTTTTAAATGTTCCATATTTTCTGCTTCCACATGTTTCTTTTAAAATGTATTTGTGTTTCTTTGTGTTTGTTGAAAAAATAAATATAAAAAAAAACATGTTATGATGACTAAAACATCATACTCTATTCCACTTGAATCATTTCAAAAACCCTTGAGGATTTATTTTAAATTGGGAGAAAAGTTTATTGCCAATAAATGGCTTTCTCTTGCTCTTAAACATCTGAGCAAGCAATTTTACCCAGCTTAGAATACAAACGTCATACATCTCGTTTTTAAAAGTGGCAGTCTACAGCGCATTTTTTAAAAATGTATTTTTCATTCCATGATGGAGTAAACTAATTGTGTTTTAGTCTGAACTGAAAAAATATCTGTGCCTTTGGTTTGCTTATGGCTTCAGTGATTTTCTTGCCAGGTGCTGTAATATTACTTGGGAGGACAAATATGTTTCGATTCAATCATCCCAAGGAAGCAGCCAAACTGAGGGAAAAAAGAAAGGTGAGATTATCGAATACATAGGAAACTTCCATTACTTCTAAAGGAAAGTATTTATTGCTCTTGGTGTAGTAATTTGAATGAGATTAAAGTACATTGTGTACACACCCTCCAAAATATAAGTTCTAATGCAAAAATTATTTTCATGGAGAAAATCATCTTTGTGGTTGCTAGGAGTTGAAAACAACTTGATTGTACATAATCAATCAATCAATCAAATAAACATTAACTTTTCTGTTGTCTTTAACAGAGTGGATTGCTTTCTTCCTTTAGTTTGTCCATGTCAGATCTTTCAAAATCTTGCGAAAACCTCTCAACAGTTATGCTGTATAATCCAGGGTGAGTTTTTTCCCAAATATTTTTTTATGGCTGATATCAATCTATATGTATCAATATCTGTATCTGAAAATATAATTATTTTTAATTATGCTGCATGTATGGAAATAATATGTCTTAGTTAATTGTTAAGAGAAAATGGAGAAATGTGAGAACCAGGTAGAAGCAATCTGCTTGATGAATATTCTAACAGCAGAACTGTCTTTACTACAGTGAGTACTAGTAGAATACTAGCATTTTACTCTGATTTATAAATAAATGTAACTTTTTCCCCCATGATTTTGTGTAGGTATGATCAGTTCTCTCAACAGAAATATTTTGAATAACAGCCTTATGTTAAGAAATGGCCCTCAAAAGTTGAAGATGTAAAATCTAGAAGGAAAAGGGAAGATTTTTAAAATATGATTATAAAGGAATATACAAGTAAATATAGGAGATTTATTTAAAAGGAGAATATTTTTAAAATTCTGTGCAATTGATCAAGTATGTAATTGTATTAAAGTGTAAAGCTGTATAAACATTTACTGTGGCCCAGGCTGTAGTATAACTGCAAAATAGCAATTGTAATCTATAAAAAAGAAATCCCTTGTTCTGTGTACAAACATCAGACCACTACATAGATGGTTAGAACAATCTGCCCTGATAGTACTTGGTCCTTGTAGGAGTTAGGTGACTGGAAACATCCATACCCTCTTCTCCTGGATGAAAAAATAGCTTATAACTCTAATTATTTGCACTTTCATAGAGAGGGCTCTTTTTCAAAGCTTCTCCTTGTATCTCGGTAACCTAGTTAGTATTTCAGTCTACTTCTTTTAACCTAATACAGTCTACTTCTTTTAACCTAATACAGCTATGTCTGTAATTTACTTCTGCTTAATGTGTTTTCGATCTCCACTGTGCAGAGGAGATATGTCTGTCACTTCAAATGGTGGTAGTGGGGAATAAGGCATTCAATAAAATGTCAAATTTAGCTCTCTAGCCTCTAAGTTGCTTATTCTGTTAGCTTGTAAAAAAAATTCTATATTCACTCTCTGTATTTTTGCCATCTTTGGTGGGCGGGAGGGGGGGCAGTAATATAAGTTCTTGAAGTTCACTTAAGTTTCCCAGAGTTGCAATTTGCTTGGGAGTAGATTTGCTATTTAATTAAACCACAACAACAGCAAAAGACATATTAAATGCAATCATTTAATATGACAGGTAATTTGCTCCCAAGAAAAATGGCCCCTCTGTGTCAGACCAAAGTCTGTCTAGTTCAGCATTCTTTCTTCAAGAGTGGCCACAGATGATTCTGGGGTGCATGCAAGCAGGCGGGCCTGGTAATAGTTCCGCTGCATAGTTTGCCTCCAACTGTTTGTACTTGGAACCATCCTTTCTCTGATCCTTACGTAGCTGCAATCATTAATAGACATTGATCAACCATATCTTTCTGACAGTGAAGGTCCCATGAAAACCTGGAAAATCTAGTGGGGAAAAAAAAAGGGGGGTTACCCTGGTTTTTTCCTCCTAAGGCATATTGTTGTTGTTTTCAGAGAAATTGAAAAACTGGATTATTTCCTAATATTTCATTTTTAACTGAGGCATAAGTTAAAGTTAAGGTGCAGAAACAATTATTGTCAAGAAATCAACTAACATTTTAAAGTGTGGCAAACCTTTACTTATTTTACAGTATTTATAACCTGTCTTAATCCCAAAGGCCTCAAGGGGGAGTACAGCATTAACAAAAAGAAAAATCAAAAGCATAATAATGAATAAGTAAATATCAAAAAAGAATTATAGAAAGCAAAGACAAAACACCAGATGGGTACAAACAGTCAATCAGCTAGGACTGGAAGCACATTGAAATAAAACAGCTTTAACCTGTTTATGAAACTGTAGCAAGGTGGGGGCTGCACAAACTTCTGGGGAGAGAATATTCCATAAAGTGGGGACTATTACAGAGAAGACTTGCCATTCACTCATGCCCTGTGGACCCCATGAAAGGAGGGAACATTCTTTAGAAAAAGAATGAACTGCTGATACAGTACTTCAGATTCAGGAAATGAGACTTATTAGATACGTATTCTGAATCTTGTTTCATCTTTCCTCAACTTTCCCCTGAAAATTAATGTTGTCTATATCTATTCCATAGCATAGAAGACAAAGTCCTGTGTTGTTGGTGGTGTTGTTGTTATTATTATTTTGTGGTACCTTCAAGTCAGTGTTGATTCCTAGCGACTGCTTGGACAAGACCCTACAGATTTCTTGGCAAGGTTTTTCAGAAGAGGCTTGCCATTGCCTGCTTCCTAGGGCTGAGACAGAGTGACTGGCCCTGGGTCCCCTAGCTGGTTTTGTGCCTAAGGCAGGACTAGAACTCACGGTCTCCTGGTTTCTAGCCTGGTACCTTAACAACTATACCAAACTGGCTGGTGTGTATACATATTACAATATTAATTTTTTTTTTCTATTTTCAATGTCAACCTTTTGTGTGCCTGCTTCTCTAAAACAGGCAAACTTTAATATGCACTCCTAAGGAATGTTTACTTCATTCAGCAGTTCTTAACATACTTGAAGTAAATCAAATCAAACCTTTATTATGGCCTTTGGGCCAGAAAGCACAACAATAAAATACATAGATCTGTAATTATTAAGAAAACTTTTTTTGTAAAAAAAGACATTAAATGCAACAAAAAAAAATAGCATAAAATACATTATAGTAACTGTAGTACAAATAGCAGTGGCAATCAGCAAAATTTGTGTTAAACTTCAACTGTAGATAGAATGGATACAACAAATGTTAGCACAAAATTGAGCAACCAGGAAAGATATGTCACTGCTTCTGGTCAGATAGAAGCAGTGACAGATAGACATTGTGCTGTCCACCAGGTAGTTCTTTAAAATGGGATATATATATATCTTACTTGATTCCCTGTAGAAAAAGCAACAAAGGAGCATATGGCTTAGGGATTCCATAGAGCCATCTCCACATGGACATAAGCAGTGCTGAAAAGGGATGTTTTTATACTGCCCCCACAGAACTGCAAAGGGTAGTGCATCCAACCTGGCCAAGGTGAAAGCCTGACAAAATTTCACAGTTCGAATTGAAGAGAGATAAGATGTTGGCACATACTCTTTTGAGAAGAATCCATAAACTGTAGGGTTGGATACTAGGCTTAGACTGGTTTGAAAATCAATAACACAGATATATTATTCAAGAAGACTCCTGGTATTTTCAAGCTGTAATGGACAGAGACTTTCCAGAGAGAGGACTGGAGTTTGCTATTACCTTGCTATTATCTAAATCAACCAGGATGATTTAAATTGGTCTCTGAGAACCAGTGGAGCTAGACCCACAGGAGAAAAATATCCAATTTCAACCAGAAATTAAGGAGAGAACCAAGCTCTGGCACCCACAGAAACCAAACCTGTCTCTAACGTAAGACGGCATTCTTGATACATCTTGGAACTATGAGTATTGCTCTTATAAATTTGGACTGGACAGTTTCCAGGATATTAAACTTTGTAAAAATGCAAATTGGAACACCATAAAGAAGCTGAGAGATGACCTTAGCAAGAAAAAGCTTGCAAGCTGCAGGAATAAAATGTACCCTCTTTGAATAGAAGAATCTTAAGACAGTTGTGGAGCTACATTGGGCCACACTTGTCCAAAGGTTTGTGCTCCAAGATAAGCCTAGAACTGTACCCCAAGGTATTTATAAGTACGTACCTGCTCTATTGGGGTCCCATTAATTTGCCATTTATATAATCTACTGTTTTGTCATGCAAACACTAGCACTTTAGTTTTTTGATGATTTGCTACAAGTTGTTCTTTTAGGCAAAAGGAAGCCAATGCCCTCAATGCCCTTCTCATTCCGAGCTGGGAGACAGACAAAATTACTATATCATCTGCATATAGCAAGGTTGGAATTGTGTGATCTGCTAACATTGGAAAGTGATGATTAGAAAATGAGAGAGCCTGAATTACTGAATTGATGTACAAATTAAAAAGTAAGGGGCTAGAATACACCCTTGCCTTACCTCTCTTTTGGTGGAAACAGCTCCAGAAAGGTGCCCCCAAGGGGAACATCTGACTCTCAATGAGCTGTTAGAATAAAGAATCTGGATAAGAAGGAGCAATCTTTTATCTGTTGAGGATCCCTGAAGTTTTTGCCGTAGCCTCTCCCTTAGAATCAGATCAAAGGCTGATTTGAAATCCACAAAAGCTGCAAAAAGGGTGAAGTGTGTTTTTCAGCTAAATGGTGCAAGACTAGACAGTGGTCCAATGTTGAATGGTGCCGTCTAAATTCCTGTTCTTCAACAAGAATATTTTCACTTTGGACCTAATCCAACAGTTTTAAATAAAGATACTTTGCATATAGTTTGTTTATTGTATTAAGCAAGCTAATTGGTCTATAGTTGGAAGGGTTAAGTCTATTTCCTGTATTCTTATAGAGAGGGGTAACTATGGCCTCATTCCACTTAGATGGAAAATGCGCTGTGCTATTAATATAAGTAAAAAGAGCAGCCAGCACTGGGGCCCACCAATCTATTTTCTTTTAGCAACTCTGGAGGGATGAAATCACCTCTGGGAGCTTTCCTAGGTTTCAATTATACAATGAAATCCTTAGCCTCAGCTATAGACATAAGCCATTTGGGAGAAGTTACCATTGGGTGGGAAACCACCGTTGGATTATTTAATAGTTCTGGATTAAAAATGTTCTGAAAGTAACTCTCCCAAATATCTGCAGGTATTTGGCAGATGGGACCCATAGGAGAGCAGTTAACTAGGCGCCAGAACCAAGCAGAGTTCTAAGCTTAGCTGCTGCAATTAATCTCCCCCAATCATCTCTCAGTGCTTGTTCTTTCTTAGATTTTATAAGTGCTTTATAAAACGTATTATGCTTTGAGTGATTGAGAGGAACCTTATGAATTGTCAGATCAAAAAGTATATACTGCAGTAAGAAGGGCCTTTTTTGCTTTATAACAATTTATGTCAAACCAAGGTTTGGATCTCATATGAAGGGGCTAGAACTAATTAATGAAACTCTAGATGGTGGGGCCTGGAGAGTGTGGATAATTGACTAGTAATGTGATAATAACTGTTCAGAGGAATCTGCTAAACAAATTTGGGAGCAGAGTTGAAGAAGGGGGTCTGAATTCAACAGAGCGGATGAGTTTTTTGCCACTCAGGAAGACCATTTATTCTGAATGACTCTTTGTTGTGGCCCTGGGGGGACAATGAGCTATAGCTACGTAGTTAATAGTTACTTTAGGATTCAGATGGCAGATTTTTGGGAAATGGTCATTATCCAGCTGATTTCCTACAAAGAAATGAGTTATTAGACTAGTGTAAGTACATCGAACCATAAAATAATCAACCACACTTGCTCCTTTGGAGCCCCAGAAGTTTAGTTCCCCATTTAAGTCTCCTCTACCAGAGCCATTTAGTATGACCGAGTCCAGACTATCTATAAGCTGGGCCAGTTGGAAGCCTGCCATATTACAGTGTTTAGATTGTTGCGCCTGTAAAGGGCAGACTATTTCATTTGAGGGGAGAGACCAATTAATATGAGCTTTTAAAAAAGCATCTGACTCCCCAGAAGCAAACTCCTCCTTGAAATCACCAGCAATAATGCATCTCAGTACTGGCAAAGCAGACTAGAGATACAGTTGCCAAGAAGATTCCAAATACTATTAACTTCATTATGTCTGCATAATGGGGGGGGAGTTATATATTGATGAATAACATATTGTGTGGCTTAAGTTGAAACAAATGGGCTAGGGCCATACTGGCACATGGCTCCAACACAGTCACAGAGATGTTAAATTTTGTAGTGACTATTACACAATCTCAGAGTACATGAAACTCTGCACCAACTGAGCCATCTGTGAGCTCATGTCTCTCCCAGGTCTCTGTTCCTACAAAGCAATCTTTTGAAACATCTTATCTGCTGTAATTGAAGGCCATATGGGACTAGCCAGATCATCAATGGAGGCATTGGACGCCAACTGACTCTTCTATGATAATGGATCAATCTCCATTCTTTCTTGGAACATAACTGACTGGAAAGCAAAGAACACAAATGCTTGTTTTCTGGAATATATTAGCTCCTTTGATATTCTGTTGCTCCAGGAAACACGGGCCATGGATGATATATATAACTCTCTGGACACACTCCGCACACACTCAAGGCACTACCCAGTGTTAAAAATGGAAGACCCTTAGGAGGTTTGAGCATATTAGAAGTAAAGATTAAGCATATTTTAAAATATTCAACTAACAACTGCATATTTATTATCTGAATGAAGTATATTTTCACTTTTAAATATTCATATTTTCACAAGTAAACCATGCTATGAATAATATAATTTAATATGTAATAAAATGATTGTATATCTATAAAGATAGTTTTAATGTAAATATAATATGAATTATTTTCCCCATCTGTTTCTTTGTGTGTGTGTGTGTGTGTACATTTTTTTCCTCGGTTGATTCAGAATTCTATCAAAGCTCCAACTGAGTTGAGATCTAATAAAGTGAAGACGTAGAACACAATTACCTTGGAAGTAGAAGAAGTAGTATCAGTTGCATATACCTCTTCCCAACTGTTACAGGGAAAATCCATCTTGTGTGTACTAAACTTCCAAAAAAATATAAATTGTATCGTAACCTGTTGTTGACTGCAAATTCCCCTGGAAAATTGTTCCTGAAAGTTGGGAAACTTGAATCTTGTGGGATGTGTTTCCAGATATAATAGCTAGTAATCCTTTTATTAATAATGCCTTTCATATTAATTTTCTTTTTATCCATCCATACGTATATATCTGTTCATAGAATGTTTCTCTTCTGTAGCTAAGTTACTGCTGTTTTTCTCTTTTCTTAATTTATTACTTTATTTCTCTCCACATCTTCTGGCAGGCTTTTCCCTATAAAAGGACCAGTCTTTCTAAGGTAGAAAAAAACTAAATTCTTAATATTAAGTGATTTACTTGCATGGACCTAACATGTAGAACCAATGCTGATCATTTATCTCTCATATTTAATGTTGCTGTAGCATGGTTACAAATTAGATTGTACATAAAACTCATTTTCTTGAGAATATTAAATTATAGAATAGCAATTCCAATAATTCACCAACATTCCCTTTAAAAAAGTTTAATGTTGCTCTTTCATTTTTTAAACAACAGATTAGAATTCGAGAGACAACAAAGAGAAGAACTAGAAAAATTAGAAAGTAAAAGGTAACTTCTATTAATATTCCTTTGTAAAGCTGTAAATGACAGAGTTTGGGGTTTTTGTTTTTGTTTTTTTTTGCTCGAATATTTTAATGATAAAGTTTAGGAATTGAAAAAAAGCAGATTTCATTCTGTTTTATTAACTTTCAAATGTAACAGGGTTTTTTGGGGGGGGGGGAGAAGTCTAATGGCATTTATGTTGAAGTTCTGTTTCATTTGATTTGAGCTCTGTAGTAATCATAGGAACAGGTTTCTATAGCGTCTTAATGCCTTATCAGTGGTTTTAGAGAAGTCTAATGCCACAGTATTACCTGGACCCTTGTCCAGATGGAGCAATTGAGACAGTTTTGCATATATTATTGCACCTTCTTTTCTGCCAAACGTAATCTTCTGATTTATTTGTGTACCCATTAACCTCAGGCTTAGGCTGGTCCAATGAGGACACTGCTCTAATTTTGTTAGCAGACAGTCTATAGAAATATTCAGGGGGTCACTAAATTTTGTTTCATTATAATTGCTGTGAGAAGGCTTTGGGTTAATATTAGCATTGCCTGATTTTTGGACAGTCTGTAATTCTATTAATTTCCTGGACTCCCTCCCACCATTTTATTTTTATTTGATGAGTTGTAATGCATGATATTTTGCTCTTTGAGCATAAGAATATTTTAACTATCTCTCCTGAAGAACAAAGATAGCATAATTCCATTAGGACAATGTTACTTCCAATGATCACAGTAGAAAATCAATTAAGAGAACATAATTACAAGACAGAGATTATAGAAAATATGGCTTCAGGGACATGAAACTTTCATTTCCATAATTTTGTATCCCACGTGTATTAATACGTTCAATATATTCAGTCATGGAGAGGGGATCAAAATCTGCAATGGCAGCCATGGAAGTGTGATCCAAGCCTGCCCCTTTTATACATACATACACTGTACCTGCTAACTTTGCAGATGCTGACTCCTCCTGCAAATGTCACTCATACTGCAAAAGCCTCCCACAGGGTACAGGTACCTTCTTTCCAGGAATTTTTTTTTTTTTTTTATCAAGAGTATGTTTTCTGTGTACTCCAAAAATTTGGCAACTCACCAAAAAATCTCAGTACTGTAGGCTAGACTGGAAAGTTGAAAAAATGAAAGCACTGGCAAATCATTTTATTTGCAATAAAACATAGGGATATCCATAAAGTCACCAGAACATGAGGGAAATTTTACTTGGATCAAAATAATGGAAAGAGATGGCAGTATAGAGAATGTTGGAAGCATTTTGAGTTAAATTCCAGATAGGAACTCTTCTGCTGGTAGAGTAAAACATTCTGGATTTAAGTCCTTATATTTGTCAAACTTCTATGTGCCCTGTGCGTATTTTCCAATCAAACATAATAAACATTTTAAAATATGCTGTAAGTATTATGGTGAGTATTTTTTACATTAAAATATGTTTAATGTATACACTGCGTGCACAATTATTAGGCAAGTTGTATTTTTGAGGATGAATTTCATTACTGAAC